CCAAGATTATCTTCTGTGCCTGTGTTAATTGGTTTCCCTTTTCTTTGTTGAAGAGGGTCTGTGCAGTCCTTCTGCCTAGTCCGCCATCTTGCCGGAACCTCAATTTAAAACTATTTAAAGATAATTGTTCCACATCTTACTTTGGTGAGTAGCGACTGGGATCTTAAAAGCTTGCAAGTGGCCATCTAGATGCAACAATGGGTCTCTCCTCGCCCAGAGCAAAGAAGAATGAAGAAAACCAAAGATTCATGGAAACAATTAGTCCTAGGGACTGGTACACCATGCTATATGACTATGAGACCAGAAAAACTAGATGGTGCCCGGCTACCACTGTCAACCACTCGGAGGGGGATCTATGGAGATCTTGGATAGAGTGGGGGAACAATGTGGAATAAAACTCAAAATCATAAAAAAAAGGGGGACCAGATTTGCTGGTCTGATAGAGCCTGATTGAACCCTTAAGACTATGGCCCCTAGCTGCCCTTCAGGTCTGGAATTGAACCCATTCCCGTGGCTTCCAGCCAAACAAAAGACAGGCATATGAGCTGATCATTTACATTAGGTAGATACACTCCCTTGGAGAGAACAATCATGGGAGAACAAGGGCTGTGTGTGTACAGGGAGACAGCTCAGGGGGCAGGGAAGAGGTAACTAACTGTGGGGAGGAAGTAAGAGGGGAGCTATTGCATTGTGGGAGATTGCAGTCACTATCATGAGACAGTGTATATGAGCTGCTATATGGAAAGTGAATTTGCTCTGTGAACTTTCACCCAAATCACAATTTAAAAAAAACTTTTGAGGTAAAAATAGGTAAGATACAAATTTTTAAAATTATTTTTATGAAATGGTCCCATAGAACATGCCTTTTAAGTGTTAATGCAGAGACAGTGTGATCTGCTGTTGCCTGATTGTGCAATAAATTCAGTCGATTCAGTAGTGTTTCCTCTTATTTCGGGTGTGGGTGTGGCAGAAGCCTGGCTGTACAGACCCTGGTATGCTGGTGCCTTGGGAGATGATGTTATGCACAGAGGAAGACGGGGGCCACAAACAGCTTGATGTAACATGGGGTGGGGGTGGCAGGGTGAGGATTCTGGAGCAGGGGCCACAGCCCTCAGAAGCCTCTTGTCCTGGCTGGTGGGGTCCCCGGGGCCTCCAATGGTCGCCACCCTGGGCCTCCCTGTCACACTGTGAACACTGGGTCGAGCCCCAGTCCTTGCAGATGGGTTGTAATCGGCACACTTGTTCCCACCCAGTGCCAGGCACCTCCAGCTTTGCCTACCTGCTTCTCCCAGTTAATCACTAAGGATAGGCTTGTCCCCGCCTTCCAGTGGGACTCTGTTCCAATCACTCCACTGTAAGTCGGTTCTGATGTAATTCGAATTCCTCTTTTATTTTTAGTTTTCATTAGTATTTTCTATTATCAGTGTCTATAAGTCGATCTCTGTCTTTAGGGGTTGGAAATACTGCATACACTAAAAATGATACACAAATCAAACATTTACTGCAACGATGACGAAGAGTCGGACATCCAGTGACGACAGTTGGCTTCTGACAGTGGGGAGGGACCGGACGCTGGCACTTCTCGGCTGCGGTGACGGCTTCACCTGTGGAAGGTTCTGGATCACCTGGACTGTCCTTGGGGATGAGGGTGGCATTTCTAGGCAGAAAATCAACGAGAAGTGTCTGTGTGGTCCTCTTTTCTTCCATGTGTTCCCAAGTCTGCCTTTTAACGTTAGCACAACGAAACCTTTGGTCCATGTTTTCAAGCAACTGAAGCCCCTGATGTAGTTTAGAAACACTTCAGCTAGTCCTTTCACTGTAAGGTTTTGTGACAACTTCTCTTCATCCTCTCATTGTTTCCTTTCAGCATTTCTTCCCCTCCCAAATCCATTAAGTTGTGAGCTGTCAGATCCCCTTCTTTGAGATCTGTGAGCAGCTGCACATCAGTGAGAGTTGAGTTGGAAATTCAGCGTTCCTTCTGTATGGGTGATTTCCCACCGACTTCTTCCATGGTATCATCCTGATCAAACCCTCTGAGCGTGTTCACACCCCTCAGTGATGTTTTCTGTCTCTTCCGTGTCACTTTGCCTGTAACATCCTCTGAGGAAGAGGCAGTGTTCTGGATATGCCGAAGAATACTCAAATTCTTCCAGAGGCCATGTAATGTCACTGTACCCCAACTGTGGCAGCCACTGCCCGGGCACACGGTCCCTAGATAGTGTGCCGTACAGGTGGTGGCGACTGCACCTTGATCTGTAGGTGAATTGCCGCTGTCGTATCAGAGGTGGACCCACCACTTTCACACCTTGATTAAAATCATCTTTGTGGAGAGGATGTCCTGGGGCATTTCCAAGTAGCGGCAGAGTCTTGAATGGAACTCTCTTCCGAGGCAGGAGGCTGGCACTTCTGAGTTGAAACAGCATAAAAATCAGTCTTGGAGAAACAGTCAGGGCCAGGCCTTGGAGTTCCTGGCTGTCAGTCCTGTAGTGCTGCTGTAACAGAAATACCACAAGGGGGTGCTGTAACAAACAGAGACGGATTTTCTCACAGTTCAGGACCCTACAGGCCTGAGGTCAGAGTGCCGGCTCTAGAGGGAGCCTCTCTCTGTAGGCCCTGGGGGAAGGTCTTTGTCTCCTTTCGAGGTCTGTAGGCCCAGTGCTTCTTCGCATCACTCTTCCCTGGATCTAGCTCTCAGCACAGGGACCCAGGTTCCGGGACGTGTTCTGCTCCAGGCTCCTCTCTTGGTGGTAGGGCCCGCCATTTCTGCTCGCTCCTCTCTCCTGTTGCTTCTAAGAAGGTGATGCAGGGAAACTCCCTTCACACTGGATCAGAGCTGTGACCTGAGGAAGGTGTCCCGTCACACCTTAATCCTGTTACAGCTGATTCGCCGAGCATGTCACATCATGGGGGCATAATCACATAATTGCATTACTGCCAGACTGCGTCATTACTAACTGCCAAACCACTGAGCAGTGTGGGCCAGCCAATCTGACACCCATTTTTGGGGACACGATTCAATCCATGACACTCCTGTGGTAGACTGGCAGCTTATTTTTGTCAGTGTTTTTGAATGCTTGGAGGTTTTCAGAATGGTGAACAAGGAAAGGTTTTAATTTAAAACTAGCAGTGTTTCCTCCAAGCATCAACATGATTTTCTTCAAATGCCTTGAAACCAGGAAGCGACTTCACTTCTTTGTGGAAACAGACGATGGTAAGTGTGGTTAGTCGTAACTCTATAACGCGCCATAAGTCAGGGACTACCATAAGCCCTGGGATAGTGCCTAAGGCACTCGACTGCTACCCAGAAGGCGGGCGGTTCAAACCCACCAGCCACTCCTGGGAAGGAAGGTTGGGCAATTTACTTCCGTAGTGATACTGGCTCAGAAACCCAAGGAGGGGTCACTATGAGTCGGGTCCGACTTGACGGCAGTGAGTTTGGGTCTTGGTTTACCGTAAGGCCACAACCACTCAGCCAGTCTGGGACCTGCAGAAAGCCCCACAAATGTCTCCAAGAGAGCCCAGCACCCTTCTGTGACTGCCCCTGTGATCTGTCTTCTGGGCCGGGGACTCGAGACCCGTTTCCTCTTCTGCAGATGATGGGAAGAACCCTGGTGGCACAGTGGGAAGTGCTCAGTTAAGGGAACCTTCTGGGGTTCTAACCCACCCAGTGGCTCCATGGAAGACGTGGTTGTTGTTGTTATGTGCTGTGGAGTCGGCCCCGACACATAGTGACCCCTCCTTGGGTTTCCGAGGCAGTATCACTACAGAAGTAGATTACCCAACCTTCCTTCTGAGGAGTGGCTGGTGGGTTTGAACCACCAGCCTTGTGGTTACCAGTCAAGTGCCTGAGGCCCTGTGCTGAGGTGGAGATCTGGTAAAGCTGACAGCCTAGGAAGCCCTAGGGAGTGGTTTGACTGTGGCATACAGGGTGGCCCGCAATCTACCCCTCTGCACCTCCTAACATGAAGGGGGCGGCTCCCTGGAGACTGGGCTTTCCCCAACCCCTTCTCCCTGCAGCCAGCAGGTGTCAGACCTGTTCCTAAAGCACACAGCCTGCTCCCGCACGCGCGCCTACACCCTTCCAGGTATCTCCAGTCTTGCCACGGGCTGCTCCGACACACACACCACTTCTCAAAATCGGCTCGCTTTCTGCTGGGCTCTTGTGCTGGGCAGGTCCCTCGTCCTGGGCTGCACACCCCGCCCTCCCGCGCCCTTACTGTACAGGCTCACTCTTCAGCTGGCCCTACCCTCCTGGCCTGCACTGCCAGCCCTGGAAGACCCTCTGGCCACCGAGCTGGGTCCCCAGGGCTCGGCCCGATCATCTCCGGAGCACTTCTCCAAGAGATGAACCGTCTGCAGTCTCCAGTCGGACGGAACTCCCAGACCAAGGCGCGCGCGTGCTCTCCCGGCCACGTGCCTCCAGCCGGGCAGCGGCGGCCGGCCCGGGGAATGAGCCTGTGGACCCGCGCGCACGCGTAGTGAAAACTGCACATCCCAGAATGCCCCGGGCCTGTGGCGTCCTGAGCGCGCGGTGGTTGCCTAGCGACGGGGCTTGTTCCGGAAGTGAGGCCCGGCTCGGGCGGAGTTTCCGGGGCCGCGGTTGCATCAGATTCTGAGAAGTGAGTGTCGCAGCGGTTGCCGGTCCGGGGTTCCCAGCGATGGCAAGTTCCTCCGGGGAGCAGAGTGAGTGCGCGCGGGAGCAGGCCGTGGGCAGGGGATCGAGGCCAGAGCCGGGGACGGAGGGACGCAGAATCCCTGCCGGACGGGGCGCCATCCCCAGCCTGAGCGCTAGCAAGTCCCTGGGTGGACCGTGGCTGGAGTCAGAGCTGGAGGCCGAGGGCAGCAGGGACTCCCGCGGGCTGCAGCGCGCGCCGCCCGACGCACGGGGACCTGAGCCGGGCGCGGGCCCCAGGAGTGACTGCGTAGCAAACGGGCTCCTCGGGCCGGGGTCGCCCCCTGGCCTTCGGGGACCGGCCAGGTCCGGGGCGGTTTCGGCTCCTGCCGGCCGGGAGCCTCCTGGGTGGGCAGACGGCAGCGGACGCGGGGACGCACATAAACGCGCTGGGGGCGTCGTCAGGGCTTTCATCTGGGCTGGAAGCGTCCGCCAGAAGCGTCCCTGCCCCACTTTACTGCCCCCGGAGGTCATGCGAGGCGGCGGCCGCTCACCACCAGCAGGTCACTCAAGTTTGTGACCCACGCCTCCTCCCACCTGTGGACCGAGCCCCAGAGGGCAGAACTTCCGGGAGCAGTTGGGTTTTCTCGCGGTCCGGCCGCGCAGAGACCAAGTTGCTGCAGCCCACGGCGCTCAGGAAAGCTTCGTGTGGCGTTTTGATTCTCTTGTTGGCAGAGATGGGGCCAGGCTCTTCCAGGCACCTCACCTCCCAGTGCAAAACCCAGGGGGCCCCTGCCGTAGAGTCGCTTCTGACAGCCACCCTAGAGGACAGAGTGGAACTGCCCACAGGGTCTCCAAGGCTGTCAGTTTTCACGGAAGCCGACTGCTTCATCTTTCTCCCCCGCAGTGGCCGGGGGTTCCAACCACTGACATTTTCGTTAACAGCTGAGCGCTTTACTCCATAGGCCATCCAAGATTGATTTGGCCTCCTGTGGTCGCCCTTCACTTCTGAGGGCAGAGGCCAGCCTAGGGCTTGGAGGACCTGGGCGGTGGCTGGGGCTCCGGGCAGGCAGCTCTGACCATTTGGGTAGCCCAGTAACGTGGGAGGAACCCGGATGACTGGGCTGTTGTCACCGCACAGGGCTTTACCGGGCGCCCGGGCCACGCAGCATTCCACGGGGCAGGCGGCCCTGCATTGTGGCCCCACGTTCCCATCCTGGCGGCAAGCAGCCCCAGAGTCCACCCAGAATCCTCTGAAAGGGCAGCGTGCTTATGGCCCGCTCTGCAGCCGCACCCCTCCTCACGGCTCGGGGATCGTGGTTCCCACTGCAGGAGGTCCTGAGCGGGGAACGAGTTAGCAGGTGGAGGCCCTGGAACAGCGCCTGGCATGTGACAAGTGCTGAGTCTGTGTTGTGATGTGGATGTGGCTCCGGTCTGTTTGTGAACATACGTGACCCGCACGTTGTTTAGTTGAGCTGCGCTAGGACTTCAGGCGTGTGGCGCCTTGGTGAGATGGGCCTGTCTGTGGAGAAGGGTGCGACGTGAGAGCCCCCTGCGCCCGCAGCCAGTGGGTTTTCCTCATCTGCAGCTCGTCTCTGTCCCAGGGCACAGCCTGCCCTTCCCCACCCTCACACCCCACCCCCTTGGGCCTCCCCTCCAAGACAAACACTGAGACCATCTTTTAGGGAGAAGGCAGTGAAGATGCAGTGGACCACGTGCCCTCTGTCCCCTGGAATTGTCACGTCCAGGCTACAAACAAACAAAAACCAAACTCACTGCCATTGAATGGGTTCCTACTCATTGCAGTCCGCATTGGGTTTCCGAGGCGGTAAATCTTCACGGAAGTAGATCGCCTCATTTTCCTTCCACGAAACGGCGGGTGGGTTTGAACTGTTGACTTTCTGTTAGCCACTAAATGCCTTATCCACTGTGCCGCCAGAGTTCCCGGCATCTCGGCCCCAGGTGGTGCTTATTCCCAAGGTCGGTTCCTCTAAGGTGGTCATCTTCCCAGGTTCCCACAGAACCCTCACCTGGAGTGTCTTCTGTGTCCAGGCCGCCTGCCCTGTGTTGACTCAGGCATTTATTTGTTCCATTGGGGCTCACTGCGTTTGCAGCCTGTAGTTTGTGTGCTTGGAGGTAGGAGGCCAGGGTGTCTGACAGCTGAGTGTCACTCCAGGGGGCTGTCGCAGTGCCAGCCTCTGTCGGCAGAGGGCGCCACCTGAGTACCTACCTTCAGGTTTCCTGTGCGGGTTCCTTTCCCTCCAGCTTGGTTCATGGTCACAACCTAGTGTGTGCCCAGCGCTGCGCCGAACATATGACCTCTCCGTCATCTTCACATGCCGGTGGATGTCCCATGATCCTCGCTTACAGGAGGGCGTGCTGGGGGTCACAGGAACCCAGCAGCTGGCCCGGGGTCACACGACTATAGCCGAGGCAGAGGCTTGACCCCAGGGAGTGGGGCTAGGTGTTGGCTTTCGGGGGCTGATTTTCGGAATTGTCCTCAGATTCAGAAGGTCTGAGTGGGCCGGGCACGTGTAGCCCGTTTCCCGGTGAGGCTGATGCTGCCTAAGTTGGAGCCAGCTTGCAGGAGGCTGAGCCTGGTGCGGACCAGGGAAGGCGGGAGGAAAACGGCAGCTGTCTAAGGGGGGAGCTGAAATTGAAGGGCTGAGCCTTCGACACTGATGGGACAGCGGAGCGAGGGAGAGGAGGTGCTGCGAGGCTACCGTCGGGAGGGTGGGATGTTCGGTGGGCGAATCAACACCTGGGACTTGGTGGTGCAGCGGCCTGCTTACCCTGTGTTGACTCAGGCATTTATTGCTAGCTGTGGTGGGCCTGTGATTCCCACGCAGTGGCTGGGTGGGGCTATGCAGATAAGGGGCTTGTGGCCTGGCAAGGGGATTGGACAGCCTGCCGGTAATGCAAACAGGGTGCACTGAACCCTGGTGAGGGGACCGTTTAGTTTTGCCATCCTGCTAGGCTTAAAACGAGCCGGCTCAGAGGGGGAAGAGGGGCCCTCACTACCACCAGGAGCCGGGAGAGGGATGTGTCCTTTGCCTCCCAGGGCCGTGGCTGAGGACCTCCTAGGCCCAGGAGACACAGCTGTAACGCCAGAGCCGGCCAGGCACGGCGGCAGAGGGGACCAGGAGATGGCACCCACGGAGCGGGGTGGCAGCTGTGGCGCCCGTCACTGACTGGCAGAGCTGAGGACCTTCCCGCAGGAAGCTTGGGTGCAGTGAGGTGCCTCCTGGCACTTGGCGGATCGAAGAGCTCCCCAACACTGGCCTGCGCAGGGCCCAGAGGGGAGCCTGTCCTCAGTGGGGTGGCAGCAGCCCAGAAGAGGGGAGCTGCCCTCAGGGCTGCAGGAGGCCTGCAGGGTCCAGAGGGGCCGAGGGAGTGGTCCTGCCCTGAAGCGGGCAGCCTCTGCCTTCATGCTTCCTGAACCTGACCCTGAGTTGTAGCCCGTTGACCCTGATCCCATGTTGTCCCTGTTTCCTCCTTAGTAGGCGACCTAACTATGAGCGTGGGCCGCGAGCTCTGTGGCCACGGTGAAGGGTCAGGAGCCCGGCGGAGAAGCTGAGAGTGCCGGGAGGGCTGGCTGTGGGAGAAGCGACTGCTCAGAGAGGAGGCCCGGCTGACCTCCACCTCGCCGGAATCCGCCTCGGGCTGATGCTGACCTCCAGGCCCCTTCCCGCTGGCAGCCACACGGGGTCAGACGCCACTGCTACGCTTGGCGTCTGTGATGCTGGGAGACGTTTTCTAAGGACCCCACTTTCTGACCCGGGGTGAGCGGGCTCCGTGTTCCAGACGCTCTCCCAACCAGAAGCTGATTTCCTTGGACCTTCCTGAATCCACCTGCTGTCGAGCACGGGGAGGCTCGGTGACGGGGGAGCCCGCAGACCCACCGTCAGGACTTCTCTGCCCGCACGTGCTCCCTGGCCTCCGGGATCACAGACGACAGCCCAGCTGACCCACTTGTATTTCTGTTTCCTCCGGACGCACGTCGGTGTGGCCGCCACCATCACTGTAGATGTCGAGGGGCCTCCTGGTGTCCTCCCACCCACCAGCGCCCCGAGCTCCGGAGCCTTCCTGGCCGAGCAGGCTCTTCCTCGGGTGGCTGTCGGGCTGGATGCCCCCGTCACAGTGGCGTGTGCAGCACCCGAGAGAGGCTGGCTCTGCGCCAGGAGGAGGGTACACGTTTACAAGGATAATTTCACCCTTGGGCTCTTTACAACGTGGTCTTCGTGTGGCATGTGAACGGGCCATGTGACTCGAGTCGCCGGTGGCCAGCCCCTGAGAACACCGCTCGTTTGGCTGGTGCGCCGGGCGGGCGTTGTTGCCACAGCGTCGCGCATTTCTCTCCTGACCTTGGAGGGTGAGCATCCAGAAGAGCCTGCAGGCAGGGGTGAGGACCTGCCCGCTGCCCAGAGCCCTGCTGGCGCGGGACCAGGCTCCCGTTGGAGTCCTTCATCACGGTGTGACTGCAAGGGGACCGTGTCCTGTGGCACGTTCCCCCGAGTGAGGCTGCGCTGGGGACCGCGTCCTGTGGCACGTTGCCCCAGTGATGCTGAACCATGTTCCCCTTAATGGTCTGTCCTCTCTCATTCCCGCTAGCCTTGTGCCCGGTCTAGCAGTTACATGGGAGATGCTCAGAGAGATTGATGGACGCTCAGAGTTGGGAGAACGGCTCCCAGGAGGCCTGCGCGATGGGCTCTGGTCCCCTCTAGCTGTTCTCCCCCTCTCTGGTCCCCTGTGGCTGGTCCCCTCTGTCTGTGGCCCCCTCTGGCTGGTCCTCTGTGGCATTGGTACCCTCTGCTCCCCTGTGGCTGCCCTCCCCTCTGTCTGTGGTCCCCTCTGGTCCGTCCATAGTGCTGACAAGTGCTCAAGTCGCCCCCAGTTGCCAGCTCTCAGGGGACTGTCAGGTTACAGGGAAGCCATCTGGGGGGCCCTGGCCCGTGTGTGGCGTCTGCCGGTCGATGCTGGCTGGAGCTCACAGGTGGCACTCGCAGGAGCCTGTGGCCAGTCGCCGTTGCTCACAGGGTTCCTTGCCAGCCCGAGGAGAGCACATCTTCCCCCAGGTGGCCATGAGCGAGGCTCAGAGGGCGGCCTGGCCGGGCCTGCGGTCGTGGAGGGCGCCCTCCCAGGTGAGGACGTGCCGGTGCTATGACGCCGACCGCCTCTTGCTTGCTCCTTCAGGTCACCCCCTGGTCATAGTGGGGTGATGACGGGCAGCGGGTATGGCCCCCTCAGCCAGGCTGGAGAGCCTGTAGTGGCCGGGCTGGGAAAAGGCTGAGGCGGGCAGCTGGGGAGCCGGAGGAGCTGGCGCCCTGCCCAGGCCCCACGGGGTCCCAGCACCACACCGGCCCCCCCCTTCTGCAGGGAGAGGCCTGCCTGCGGGCTGGTCCTCTGACAGCTGGCCGCGGGGATGTGCTAGTAGCCCCTGCGACAGCCAGGAGCAAAGACGCGCAGTGCCCTGCTTCCCGTGTCTCTCTGTGCGAGAAGCAGCCCCGGGGGACGGGGCTAGTCTGGGCAGTGGGCAGGGAGGTGCAGCTGGCCGTGCCTTTGTGTCCTGGTGGCCCGCTGGGAGCAGGGTGGGGTCCCCAGAAGGTGAACGGAGTGCTGCCCCATCATGCACCGAGGGACTTCTGCCCGCTCGTTCATTCACTCGTTCATTCAGCACCTGTACTGTCCACAATTTTCCAGGCTCAGCTCTAGGTGCTGGGGCATGTTGTTGGGTGCCGTGAACTTGGCCCTGACTCATAGTGGCCCCTGTACAAGAGAACAAAAGCCGGCCCGGCCCGTGTCCTCATGACTGTGGCCATGCTTGGGCCCCTCACCACCAGCACGGGGCCGGCCCACCCCGCTGAGGCGTCGGCACTTTGCCAGCGTGTTCTCTCTCTCCGGGGCTGGTCCCTTCTGACGACGTGACCAGAGTGCAGGAGACGAAGTCTGGCCGTTCTCACTTCCAAGGAGCATTCTGGCCGCACTTCCTCGGAAACGGATGTGTTCGGATGTGTTCGCCCTCCTGACGGCTGCGTTTCCTCCGGGACGAGTGTGTTCTCCCTCCTGAGGGCTGCGTTTCCTCCGGGACGGGTGTGTGCACCCTCCTGGTGGCTGCACTGCACTTCCTCCTGGATGGGTGTGTGCGCCCTCCTGACGCCCTCCGGATCCAGCTTTCATGTGCAGATGGACGTACTGAAAATACCGAGGCCTGCGTTAGGCACACCCTGGTCCGCAAAGTGACATCTGTGTTCTTTAACACCTTGAAGAGGTCTTTTATGGCAGATTTGCCCAGTGCAGTACGACATCTGATTTCGTGACTGCTGCTTCCATGGATGTTGATTGTAGATTCAAGTCAAATGAAATCCCTGACAACTTCAGTCTTTTATCTGTTTGTCATAATGTTGCTTACTGGTCCAGTTGTGAGGATTTTCATTTTCTTTATGTTGAGGTGTAATCTATATTGAAGGCAGAACTCTTTGATCTTCATCAATAAGTGCTTGAGGTCCTCTTCATTTTCAGCAAGCAAGGTTGTGTCATCTGCATATCACAGGTTGTTAGTGAACCTTCCTCCAATCCTGATGTCACACTCTTCTTCGTATAGTCCAGCTTCTCGGACTGCTTGCTCAGCATACAGGTTGAATAAGTTTGGTGAAAGGATGCAACCCTGACGCGCTCCCTTCCTGATTTTAAACCATGCGGTGTGCCCTTGTTCTGTTTGAACGACAGCCTCCTCGTCTGTGTACAGGTTCTTCGCGAGCACAATTAAGTGTCCTGGAATTCCCGTTCTTCCAGTGTTATCCATAACTTGCTATGATGCACGCAGCTGAATGTCTGCATAGTCAATGAAGCGCCCATCTTTCTGGCCTTTGCTCTGAGCCACGGTGCACCTGGCGGCAGCAGGGACCTCCCTCGCTCTGTGCTCTCTCCTGAATGAGGCTTGACTTTCTGGCAGTTGCTTGTCTGTATGCTGCTGCAGCCGCCCAGCCACATTTTCCTTTGTGTGCATGTGACGTTAATCACGTGGTTTGATGCATTCTGTGGGATCACCTTTCTTTGAGGGGGTACAGGTCTGCGTCTCCTCCAGTCGGTTGCGCAGGTAGCTGACTTCCAGCTTGGCCTGGTGAGGAGCCCCTCCGGCGCCGCGTCCATTTGTTGAGGCGTCTCCGTGGTGCACTGTCAGCTCCTGGAGCCTTGGTTACCTCCAGCTCCTTTAGTGCGGCTCGGGCTGCTTCCTTCCGTACCACTGGTTCCTGATCGCACGCCTCCTCCTGCGGTGAGGGTGTAGCGGTGGACGAAGCAGACACAGCCGGGGGTTTGGGGGCAGGTGTCAGTAGGTGAGACAGAAACAAGCGCTGGAGACGGTGAAGGCAGGAATGGGGGTCGGACCGGGTGGCATTTGGAATGTCACGAGGAGTTCTGAGGAGGTGGTTTTGAGCAGGGGACGTGAGCATCCCGGCCTGGTCGGGGTGAGGGGACAGTGGGATAGAGGTGTGGGCTAGGGGACAGCAGGAACTGAGGCTGGAGCAGCAGGCACGGGACATGGGGCGGCCCTGAGCCTCCCTGCAGGCCTGGCCTGGGCTGTGAGGACGGGGGAGGTTTCTTAGCGTGTCTCCGAGGCCACGGTGCTGAGCAGACCTGGGCAGGGAAGGGCCGCACAGGACACGTCGGAAGATGGACCGGGGGTCCGTGGAGGGCCATGGCTGTGGAGAAGGTGGAGGTCAGAGTTTCTCAGGGGCTTGGTGCTGGGAGGGAGCTGGGGGAGTGGTCTGTGAAGGGTAAATTATGGTGGTGTCTGTGGGTCACATTGAGTGGGACGGGATGCCCGGGGCCACCCTGTGGGACCGCTTCATGTCTGAGAGTGGCCAGCAGCCTGGGGTGTCGCAGGGGACAGAGCAGGGAGATTTCGTGGGATTTCACGCAGCAGGAGCGTCCCGCACAGCCTGTGCTGAAGCGCACAGTCTACTCTGACATTCACTGGGAGTTTTCCGGGTGGTACCCTCGCCTCTCTTGGCGAAAATGAGGCCAGGCCACACATCAGGGAGAAGGCACTGGCCACGGGGGCCCTGGACAGCCCATGAACCAGGGATGGAAAGCCCGTGGCGGGGCTGTGGGCGGCTGCCGAGACTGGTACTTTCTGTTCTATGATCCGAGACATTTTTGCCAACTTCCTGATGACTGACACTTGTGTCCCCCCAGCATCGTCCCCCACCCCGTGTGCCCCCTGATGCCCATATCCCTGTCCCCCCAGCATCACCCCGCCCCATGTCCCCTGACGTCATGTGCCCATCTCTGTCCCCCAGCATCACCCCGCCCCATGCCCTCTGATGCCCCATGGTGCCCCCTGACGCCCCATGTGCCCCGACGCCCTGTGCCTGTCCCTGTCCCCCAGCATCACCCCGCCCCGTGCCCCCTGACGCCCCATGTCCCCTGACGCCGCGTGCCCGTCTCTGTCTCTGCAGCTCCCGACCACAGGTGGATCCTGAGCATAGGAGACGAGGCCGCGCGGCTGGAGGCCCTCAACGAGCACCTGAGCACCCGCAGCTACGTCCAGGGGCACGCCCTGTCCCAGGCCGACGTGGACGCCTTCAGGCAGTTCTCCGCGCCTCCCGCTGACCTGCGGCTCTTCCACGTGGTGCGTTGGTTCAGGCACGTCGAGGCGGTCCTCAGTGGCCCCCACGTCCCCGGCCAGCCCTCCGGGCTGCAAGCAAGTGAGTAGCTACAGCAGCGTTGCCCACGCTTAAAGGTTGTGTGTGGTGGTCCCCAGGGACGAGGTCGCCCACCCTTGGAGCCTGTGCACGGTGGCCCCTGGAGAGCAGGGCTCCTCACCACCACCTGTGGGGGGTGCTGTGGGGTGTGGTGGGCCACGGTTCCTGGGACGAGCCTGCAGCCTGGTGGGGCTGAGCTGGGGTATGGGTAAAGCCATTCCTGTGATGTTGGTTGTCAGGGACAGGGCGTCTGTGTCTTTGTCATCCGTGGTGTCCGAGCCTCCCGGCATGGTGCAGGGCGGTCACTGCACACAGCCCTCCTGGAGTCCACGTGAGGCCCTGGCACCGGCCCCTGCTAGACTCCACATCAGCTGGTGCTCTGGCTTTCTTGTGGAAAGTTACAGTGTGCTTGTCCCTGGCTGTGGAATCTCTGAGGGCTGAGGCGACCTGCTGCCCACGGGCGTGTCTAGGCGTGACCGGTGCGGCCTTTGGCTCCAGCCTGTCCATGCTGGCCTTCTGGTCCTGTGGGTTCTTCTGGAAGGCCTCGGGGCTCGTGACCTGTGTGGACTCTCTCCCACCTCTCAGATGCTCCTGGGGCTCTGTGCGCACCCACTCCTGGTGGCCCCCCTGGACAGTAGCCTCCTGGGGGTGGGGGCGGGACTGGAATGTTCCACAAAGCCTGCACCCACGGTCAAGTCTGACCAGTTCCACATTGAGTAGGGCGGGGCAGAGGAGGGGATCCCGCAGTCCCCGGGGTGCGGGGTGTGCCTGGTCTCCCAGGTAATCCTGCAGCACCCCCACACCCACCTGGGGGAGACCATTCCCACAGCCTTGCAGACCATCCTGCCGCTCGCTCGGCGCAGTGCACCGCGGGGTCTGGGCCGCCAGTCAGTCCTTCGGCTTTGGCCCTGCCATCGTTGGTCCTTGGGGACCACTGCCCCTGTCCCCACTCTAAGTCACCATGTCCTCTCCTGGCAGACTGTGGCTTAGCCGCCCGTGAGGTCCTGTCGTATGTGGGAATGGGCCTGGCTCACTGACCCTCCAGGCTGCCTGCGGGCATGGAACTGACACTTCCCGGGTTCCCAGCCTGACCCGCCCCGCTCCACTCAGGGCCACCCCCCAGCC